GGCACTGGAATTCAATTAAAACTTTAAGCCTAGCATATGCGTACTCGCCGAAGATGCTTTAGCTCATTTTTTTCAATTCCAAGAACGCACCGTACAAATAAACAAATTCCGTTTTGCTAGAAACACTTCAGTGATATGGCTAGATAATAAAACAGCAATTAAAAAAAAAACGAAATCAAAATTAAGGCGGAGACGCGCTGATTTGTATTTAATGAACGCTTATCTGCGTAACTTTGGCAACGCACTTCTGATAAGCGAACCCGCTGAGGCCTTTGGGAAACGCATCTGAGAGCTTTATCGAAATGAATTGGAAAGATATTGAGGCACTTGCGGGTAGGTGATAAGTCTTTTATTTGATTCTCTAGAAGTTATAAATTCATTGGGCCATGCTTAGATCCAATTTAGTCTGTTTTGGTAACGCCTGCGAAAGGTTTTGTTCAATTTAGTGAAAGTTCAGTTAAAGCATAATAACATGGCAAAAGGTGTGTGATAAAAACTCGGTAGCATACAAAGTGTATAAAATTTTTTGAACAATTTGGAGTAACAAGAGAAATTGCTAACAATATGCTATGCCTTTAAGAGCTCTTTATTTACTATATGAAATATTTTTGAGCCTACGCTATAAGTGTTCAGCACAAATAACAGAGTCACCATTGGAAAAATTGATCTTGAACAGCATGTCAATCATACATATTTCAAAAACAATATTTAACTATCAAGCAATTTCGAATAATAATATAAATGAAAACTTACAGAAACAATACCCCACACCCAAAAAATAAAACATTAATAATCATTGTATTAGTAATGATAGTACTTAAATAGGATAAAAAGTCAAAAGTTCATTCTATATCCACATAACACAAAATATGAAGTATAGTATACCTGTTGAAATTTATTATAAAATATACATATACAACTATATGAATAAAACACAGTTTGTTAGTGTTGTTTTGAAATTGTGGACAATCTTGAGTGGAGAAATGGAGAGAAAAAAGTAGACTAGATTTGCCTCAATGTGGAAATGTCTTCATCGATTGCGTGAAAAATATAATGAGAGATAGCAGAATTTTTTTCAATTTGTTAAGTTTTTCCTAATTATAGCAGAAATAGGATATAAAGCCATCCGTTCGTTTTTTGTTTCTGAGACAAGCACGTTAGTTAGAAAGTCTAAGAAGCATAATCAAAATAATATCTTGAAAGGTACTTTCAATTGTGCTTATCAAAAAGAGTTGATGATTAGTGAATCATTACCGATTATGGGGATTTGTAGAACCGAAAACGGGCGAAAATATAGCGGAGAAAGCTGGAGAAGATTGAGCAGTCAGGGTGAAGCTAAAACAATTTAATTAAAATTATTATATTTCAGGCTTGCTAGCACTCGTCTGTCTATTGGGTTTGACCGGCAACATCTGGGCCCAGAGTACTAGCGACATCACTTCGACCGCCGGGATAAGCATCACCACTGAGGCTGGAGTTGCTGGCTGCTTGTCGGAAAACGAAGCTTGGGCCGATCCAGACATAAATCAGTTCAATTTCTGCTACAATGGTGAAAAGCAGTCCTTGTCCTGCGATAAGAATACCTATTTTGTAAATAATGGCACCGTTGCCGGTTGCATACCTGCTGACGAAATGAGTCCCAATTGTGTTAACGAAGATATCACAGTGGGACCCTGCGAGGGAGCTAATTTGTATCAACCGCAGCCCAGCAAGACAATTGGAAATTTCTGGTTATGCGTAGAAGAGGGTGCCGACCCAATTGAGCTGTCCTGTGAGTCTGGAAAAGCATTTGTCGAGAAGGATGGCTACATGGGCTGTTTCGAATGGGACGAATGGCGCACCATACGCGACTGCGTAACCGAATAATAAAATACTTTTATCAAATTTTCTAGTGCCAAGATTTAATCTAACATATCAGAATTGATAATGTTCAGACTGAAAAATAGCCCAAGTGTCAGGAATTTTAATCAGGCTGATTATATTCAAGCATTCAATTATTACATTTAATCAAAGCGTAATACGTCTTTGTATTTCCCTATTTTTAATCAAAAAGTGCTTGACTTGAACTTTAATTGACTTTGAATTGATTGAAAAATAATTAATTTATGAATTGTCATTATATTCAAGGAGCCAAATAAATACATATACATATATAGAGATGAGCCGTTGAATTGCTCATAAATTTAAGAATCACAATTGTAAGCAATAACAACAACCGCGTGCCAGTGAAATCAATAAACAATAAATCTTGTTTTGTCACAATACAGATTGGTTGGGCATCCCACACTGCAACATGCAACAAAACCAAAATTACAGGGCAGCACAAACTTCAATGCAAGAAGCGCAAACTTTGGCAAGAAATTGCAAAGCAACAGCCATCATCGTGTGGATGCCACACTCCATATATACACGTATATACACACATATATATGCGGGTGTAGGTGTGGGTGTGGGTGTGGGTGCGCATGTGTATAGTCGTCGTCGCCGACGTCGCTCCAAAACAATTGTCACCACAAATTTTGGTGCAAAACAAACAACATGCCCTTCCAAATTACAGAGCACAAACACAGTGCATGCAAGACATACTCGGTCAGAGGACATATGAAACTGAACTCTAGTTGCGAAAGTATGTGTGTGTGTGTGTGTGTGTGAGTGTGTTTGTGGCTGTTGGATTGCGTTTGCGATTGTGCGTATGTCGTTCGCCCATTTTCAGCCACAAGTTAAAAATGAGTTTAAAGTTCGATGTGGAAGCGCATTAGTCTTGCAACCACAGGCAACATGAAACGATGGCAACACTGCCACTGGTCACAGTGATTGCAGTCCCCCCCAGAGATGAAAGAACTTTATTGGGCACCGGCTAGTGGGGGACAAGAATCTATTGCAATGCTAAGAATTTTAGACGTTACTTATTTCAGGTCATGTGCATTCAATTTATTTGAAGAAAAAGTCGAACCGGTGGAATACAATCTTAAACAGCAGGTACATACTTGGGCAGCTGCCATTAGATTTGTTATATCAGCGAACACTATTATTGTCCCTTAAGATATCATTATACTTATTACATATTTGTTTTTATTTGACTTCTAAAATTTTCCCTATAAATCTTCCCCCGCTCAGAGGCATTCCCTAAGAAAACTAGCCGAATACTCCACAATTTTTTAGGAATGCATTTTTGGAACATTTTTGGAAAGTAAATGTTGCTTTGTTATACATTTTATGATTAATTTTTATAAAGTTCGATGGACAAATGTATAACAGTAAGGGCAGAAATAAGTAGAAGTTATTGGCATATGTATATCTATGAAACATTCTTGGCCGATTATAATTAGAGCAGCTTAGATGATTTTTTTTTTTTTTTTTTTTTTTTTGATACTTTGTTCTTTACTTAAACCAGTTGCTAAATATAAGACAAGAACAGAGAGCCTTCTTCTGGGTACAACAACTCTATATCTTACTTATTTTGGTTGCTATCTTTTAAGCGTTCATTAGCTTTCTTATGCATCCATTACTATCAATTGTACAATCTATCTGTGATTTATACATTTTATGATTAATTTTTATAAAGTTCAGTGGACATATGTATAACGTAAGGGCAGACATAAGTAGAAGTTATTGGAATATGTATTTATAAATCATTTTTGACCGATTATAACCAGAGCAGCTTAGATGTTCTTACCTTATTCCTATATTTAAACCAGTTGCTAAATCTAAGAGAAGAACAGATAGTCTACTTCTGAGTACTATTTGTTGACAGCAACTCTAAATTCTCCTCTTATTTCAGTTGCTTCCTTTTAAGCATTCATTAGCTATTCTTATGCTTCCATTACTATCAGTTGTACAATATATCTGAGATTTGTCTGATATTGTTTCCTTTTCTAGTGGTCTCTTTTTCTCTCTCTCTCTCTCTCTCTCTCTCTCTCTTTCTCTCTCTCCCTCTTTCTTTCTCTTCTTCACAAGACACTATAAAATTCTCGATCTCTTAAATTGTCTAAGCCCGCTGAGCATTTCCGGAAACTCGATTGCCTAGGTAATAAATGTCTGAGTGCGACATAGTTAAAAGAGCTTGCCGGGCAACGCCATTCACTATTTACACGCACGCAAACACACTCACACAAACACACACACTCGCACACACACATACACTCATGATGCAAAGTGTCAGTGATACGAGAGTGCAGCAAACTGCCACACTACTGGTGAAGTCAACCCCCAAATGAGTTAGTCAGGAAATTGCATTATTTGTCTTTGGCTATTGCGGACAAAAACTACAACGACGCTCACGATGCCGACGATGCCGGCGACGACGACAACAAGGACGATACGGACGCCAGGACAGGGGGCTGAGGGCGATCAGGGTGTGAAGCTCACTGCTATGCCAATGGTTGCAAGCTGTGCGTTGCTGTTGTTATTGTTTGGTAGCCACTTTTAAAGTACGTGGCCATAGCTTGTATGACCATCGCTGCCCTGTCACACATGCGAAATTTAAACGCTGCCAAGTAACAGCAATTTTTCTGCTCCATTTCCGTACAACCGCTGTTTCAACTGCTCCCACTCGTGCTGCATTTGCTGTTCCTGCTGCTGCTACTGCTGCTGCTGGTGTTCTTGCTGTTGTTGCATTTTAATTGCTCGCCTAGCTTGACTGCGCCTGGGCTCTGTCCATTAATCCTGCACAAGTTTTGCACTGAAACGGCAACAAGGAATTTTTAAAGTTGTAATGTGAAATTAGTCTGGTTCTCATCAAATTTATGTAAGGTGAGAACAGATAAGGTTGCACGCCAAATTTTTTTACTGTACAGAGATGTAATGTACACACAATAAGACACGTATAATGTACAACCATACACATTCTATGGGCTGACGTTGTTGGGGGAGAGGGTCGGTGCGGGATACATTGACGGCGGCTAGCAAAACAGCCTGTGGGAGGGTTCTTGACCGTACACTCCATCAACACCCATAATACATAATTAATTTATAGAGATCCCTATGCCTGGTACATAGAAAAAAAAGATAGTTGGGGCGGCACTTGCAATAGGCTAACAGTGAAAGAAAGAAAAAAGAAAGACAATGAAAAGAATCGGAAAATGTATTAAGAAACAGCAATACCTTCTTCAAAGCTAACCAGATGGTGTGGTTGCTACGCTCTCTACCCACCCTACCAATGATTTTTCCATTGTGCGTTATTTTAAGAAAAATCCCAAGAAGAGGCTACTTCGCCTGCCTTATCCCTTTACATTAGGAAAAATATATTTAAATTCACAAAGTCATAGTTATTTTATTCAATATATAATGAAAAATACTAAATTCCAAATAAACTTCATTCTTTTCCATTTATAAAATTCAAGTAATCATAACGTAAATAAAAGAAAACCATAATCAAACTAAAATTAAAGGTTAATATTCATCAATAGCACATAAGAGTTGATAAACCAAAGTTATTCTGCATAAGCAAGAGTAATTCATAGTTGCGATATAAGTTTGTTTCCTCAAAACAATGAAAAATGATATCAGAGTATACCGGTTTAAAGAAAAAGCCATAATTCATGCATAAATATATCTAGTAATAAGCATAAGTGCATCGAGAGCAAAAATAAAAATATTATTATCAGTCGCTAGTAAAACAGTTATACCGAACTGTATCAGCAATTAGCAATAAAAATCAAAACAAACTTTGAAACTAAAAGCTGTGATGCTGGGCATCATATGTTTAATCGTTGACGAAAAGCTTTCAAGGGCATTGACCCCAAACTTTAAAAGCCGTACTTTTATATATTTGAAATTTACTTATTAACCTGTACACTTGATGATCGAAAATAAGCAAGAAATAGATATGCAAGTTTGACTCACCCTCTGAAAAATCCGATGAAGGCCTCCATGGTTTCCAGATGTTGCTGTGTATGTTAGTATGGGATCAAAATTAATTTATACAAGCAGTACTATTTCAACACTTTCGATCTCCAATAAAAAAAAAACAAAAAAAAATTAAGATATTAATATTTCCAAACTCAGCACTTATTGAGTTGCAAATGCCTGCTCTAATATATATGTATGTATGAATTAATTATATGCCTATGTAAGAGGCTCTCTTACTTTTGAACTTTTGATAAAGAAAAACTTTTGCTTTTGCACAAACCAAAATACAGTTACTTTAAACAATTGCTATTAATAGCTGATGCTTAGATAAAATTATGCCAATAAAGTTGGACTTTGTACTTGCGCTGTACATGCAATTTGTAAGCACAGGGTCTCTGCTTTTAGGTTAAGCATGCAAAAATTCGTAATATTGATATTTCTGCCTGAATTTTAAAGAAACCAAATTCGTTAACGTTAGTACACATATACGAGTATATGTGGCTCTTTCTCCTGGTTTTTGGAGGGTACTGGAGTCTTTGTAAAAGTCGAGTTCTCTCCGCCGCTGCTGCTGCTACGTTTGCTGCCTATTGAAATTCTGCCTTGTCGCTAATTTCTGCATTCAAATTCCAGCTTCGCCTGATTATCTGACGGGATGAATCCAACGTTTAATTGTGGATGAGCCGACCAAGACAATAGCTCATGTCGCCATACAACCTTATAATTTTTGGGAACATATATTAGCATCCAATTGGTTGCGTCAATATAGTCACACTTACAATATTCTTTGAAGCAAAAAATAATCCAAAATGGAACAGATAAACGCTGTGAAATGGTGATCTTACAAGGTTTTAATAAAGCCTCCTTGAGGATGGCTTCTCAATAGCACGATTTGCACACGAAAATATACACGTGTTTCACTTTTAATAATTTAAACAAAATTTATTGCAGCTAAATAAAGCACAACTGATCGTGCCAGCGGTCAGAACAGAAAGAGGTCGAGTGCAGGAAGTAATTAAATTCGTAGCCTATGTTTCAACTATTGACAGCTGTCTGACAAGCTTAACAGAGCTTTGTGTCAAATGCATATCAGTGTTAACAAGACCTTGATGCCTTTACCAAAGTGGTTTGAAGCTTCGCTAGTACCACTGTTAAATTTTGAATTGCTACTTGTATAATAATAATGAACATTTGCCGATGTGCATATGCCACTGTTCACTACACCCTGGATAATTCGGCCATTCTTAATGAGAAGAATTAGACTGAAAAAAGAACAGTTATTGACGTATATCTTTAGCATGGTAAGTGCCAACTAAGCATCCTTGTAGGTCTTCAAGCACGTAAAATGCATTGCCTAACTTTTCCCGTATTCTAGACTTTATCCAAGCTGGGCTAAGTTTCGCATTAAAGTTCTTTTGAAAATTGCTCTGTGCAAAACTTCTTCTAAATACTTCTTGTCCAATTTTAAAATGTATTTCTCGAGTTCTTAAATTATATTGTTTTGCATTTTGTTCATAAGCATGTCTTAGGTTCTGTTTTATCTCTTTTCGAATTAATTTTAGCTGATCATCTTTATGCAGCTTACAAATAGGTTCATCTAGTAGATTAAGACGACGTAATAGGTCATATTGAGAGCCATGAGTAACCATATCTAATCCGAACAACGAATGATAAGGAGAAAACTGTGTACTCTGATGTACCGAATTTCTAAGCGCACAACTAATCGCGTCTATATGCTGATCCCAATCTCGCTGATCTTCGTTGAGGTATGCTCGCATCGCTGCAATTAACGAACGATTAACTCTTTCTGACGCATTGGATTGCGGCGAATAGAGAGCAGTATAAACGTGTTTAATTCCTAATGAAGTTAGCCATGAATTGAAGGTATTTGCTTTAAATTGTGACCCATTGTCACTAACAATAGTTTCTGGCACTCCATATGTAAAAATATCTTCTGCAAGAAATCCTGAATACTCTCTGTTGAAAATTTATTTAATGGACAAAGCCAATGAAATTTCGACATATGATCTAACACAATCAGTAATCCTTTATAACCGCGCTTACTTCTAGGATAGGGGTCCAAGTAGATCAATATAAAGACGTTGAAACGGCCGTTCAGAAACAACTTGTTTACCCATAGAAGGTTTTAACGTTACATTTGGGGATTTTGTACATTTACAAACTTCGCATTCACGAATATAGTCACGCACTTGCGAAACCATTCCTGGCCAATAAAATTCCTGCGGATTAAATCCAAAGTCTTTGCTATACCACCGTGCGCTGCAACAACAGAATCATGAGCACGTTTAATTACTACGATGGTCAGACCTTTCGGAATCCATAATTTCCAAATTGCTTTTTGAATAGGGTCATCACCACTATCATGCTGCGTACGTATGTACACATAACCGTCAACTATACGTACATCAGGGTATTTTGATTCATTTGCCAAAATATTGCCTTTCAAATTTTGATATTCCTCATCATCAAAACATGGAGAATTAAGATCAATTTCTGGACCGACATCTTCTAACTCTGCTACTTCGTCAGAATACATTCGAGAAAGGGCATCTGGAACTATGTTATCACGTCCTTTCCGATGACTTACGCTGAACCGATATCCCTGCAGTAGCATGGCCCATCTTGCCATTCTGCCTTTGAGATTGGATTGTCTCATAAGCCAAACCAGGCTTGCATGGTCTGTTATAACTTCAAACTCTTGAAGTTCTAAGTAACAACGAAATCGCTGAATAGCCTCTAGCGCTGCTAAACATTCACGTTCCGTGACACTATAGTTACGCTGAGCTGAATTTAATTTTCGTGACATAAAAACGACTGGCTTTTCTGTGCCGTCTTCAGAAATTTGTACTAAAACAGCACCTATTCCATAATCGCTTGCATCGCAATGTACGTAAAATTTCTTTGTAAAGTCGGGATTTTGTAATACTGGAGCAGAAGTTAACTTTAACTTTAGTTGGTCCATAGCCTTCTGAGCTTCTTCTGTCCATACGAATTTCTTTTTATGTGAAAGCAGTTCTGTTATAGGAAAAACTATATCGGAAAAATTTTCGATAAAGCGTCGGTACCAACCTGCTAAGCCTAAAAACCCTCGCAGTTGCTTCAAATTTATCGGCGGAGGCCAGTTCATTATAAATTCGATTTTCTTGGGGTCTGTAGCAATACCACCATTTCCAATAATATATCCTAAATAGCGAACTTCAGTCACACAAAAATTACTTTTGGAAATATTTAATGTTAGATTCGCCTTACGAAATTGTTCAGACAGGCGCATTAACACTGCTAAATGTGAATCAAAATCTTCGGAAACTACACACACATCGTCTAAGTATCCGAATACACAATTCTTAAGATCGGGGGGGATAATTTGATCCATTAGACGACACATCGTCTGTGGTGCATTACATAAGCCGAATGGCATAGTAACAAATTGATAAAGTGGCCGTCCAGGGATAGTAAATGCTGTTAGGGCTTTCGATTCCTCTGTTAGAGAAATTTGCCAGTAAGCATCCTTCAAGTCAATTTTAGATATTATTTCAGCCCTAGGTAATCTTGCAAGAATTCCATCTATATTGGGGAGCGGATAAGCATCCTTTTTTGTTAATTCATTTATTTTTCTCGCATCTAAACAAAGTCTAACTTTGCCGGGCTTTATTACTAGACGCATTGGGGAACTCCATGCACTAGTTGATTCCTCAATGACACCAAGAGAAAGCATTCGATCCACTTCACTATACATCAGCTTTTCCACCGCGGGTGAGACTGGATAAAAACGTTGTTTTACAGGCTTAGATTCGCCAACATCTATACTGTGTGAAATAATTGCTGTTCTGCCAAGACCTTGTTGTTCGAAGTTTGGGAAAAGCGAAACCACTGCCGCTAATCGTCTGTGTTGATCTGCCGATAAGGGATAAGCATTTGAACTTTCTGCAGTTTCACCAATAGAATCAATCGCTGACACCAGAGCTGGGGCTAAACCAAAAACCTTCCAAAAATCAATTCCTAAAATAACTTTTTTATCTAGTGAAGGAACAATAAAAAACTTGATTTGTTTTGATAAACCATTATAGGACACATCTGCTAATACAAATCCTATCACGGGATGATTTTTACCATCAGCAGTTTTAATTTGTGAAGTAATCTTTCTAAATTGGGTATATTTTTCCCAGTTACCTTTTGCCAATGCTGCGCCAAGACAACTAATGTTTGCGCCGGTGTCAAGTAAACCTTGTTCTACAAAGTCTAAAAATGAAACTCTGGCATAAAATCTTCCATCAGATGACTCATTCACCAAAGCCGACACTAGCATCTTTTTAGTTCGCCGAACACTGTGACAAAACCTGCGTAATCGCCTCGTAGAACGTCTTGGTCTACGTCGTATATATAAACTATCATTAAAAATTTCCGCACGAGCTTTTATATAATTTTGGTAGCGCTCATGATATGGTTTGATTGGGGTTAAGATTGGGGTTGTTTTGTTATTATTTGGGAGAATAGTTGTACGATCTGATTTATCTGGGATATTTTTAGCCGCTGGCGGGCGTTGTGTAAATAAAACAGCATCTCCTATTGGGCCACCCGACTGCTGCCGGCGGACTGACCCTTCAACAGGTTTTCCGACTTTTTCCCTAAACAAAAACTGCACTGCGGCTTATAAATATTCTTCGCTCCGCAGCCATAACAAAATATGTTCCGAGCTTGGAGGCACATATCCCAAGTGTGGCCTTCTTCGTCACAATTCCAACACTTGTAAGGTTTCTTGAAAATGGTAATAGCATTTACTGATACAGATGGTTCTTCTGAATTCAACTTACTCACGCTTTCACTTATCTCCGAAATCTGCCTTTTCACTGGTACTGTATTAGTTTTAACTTTGCTACGTCTGAAATCTTCTTCCTTTAACAAATTCTCTCGCATCTGAACCAGTTGACGCAAATGAGCAACTGAATGGACGGGAACATAGAGTAACTCATGACGTATTTCCGGCCTCAGATTCCTTTTAAGTCTTTTGATGAGCCGATGCTCATCTATTGGTACTGCCAACCGAGATATCAGATCGACAATATCATCATAAAATGCGTCGAACGTTTCACCATCTTTTTGCTTACGCGCTCGAATTTCCTCACGCAAAATATCTTCGTCTCTGCAATCGCGATACTGATATTTAAGCGCCTCGCAAAAACCTTGCCATTCAATCTGATCTACCTGCTTTCGATACCGCCAATACCAATCCCTAGCTTTACCTATCAACAGTATATGAAGATTTTTACAGAGATAGGAAAAATTATTATTTAAACTATCTTCAGTTAGTGCACGAATTCTGTATAGAAACTCTTGTACTGTAGGACCTTTTGTTGATCCATCAAATCGAACATTCCAACTTTGCACGATTTGGGTCACCTTTTCCGGACTAAGTGAAGACATAACATTCGATCTTACGGATTGTCTAACTTCATCTGTGCGAATTCCTGTTCTTTCCGACGCATGATGAGCTTGAGAGCTTGCCGAATGACTTGACAAATTTAAACTTGAAAATCGTCTGTCAATAAGATCCTCTAGTTTGTCATAAATTCTTTCATAATCAATAGTATTTGCTGAAGCTCTTTCAAAGTGTACAGGAGAGCCTCGCCTATCATGTCTTGTAGTTCTACCTACTCTAGGTCGACCTCTGTTGCCTTTACTTAATTTAACAATTCCTGCTTGTTGCTCTTCATTATAAACTTGCTTCAGGGTTTGTGTTGGTGCTTCCAAACATTGCGTTTGATCAGCCACCGTATTTTTTTTCTGTTCTTTTGATCTACCTCTTGTGTTATGCACTTTTGGGGTATTTATTACATTGTATTGTTTGGTGCTTGAACGTCTGAATAAACAGTCCAAGGCTTTAAATCACGCGGATGACACAATGCCTTGCATACTTTGCATTCGCTAACATTAGATATCCAGTCTGTAATACATGGTCTATGAAAGCATGATTGCATCTAGAAACAACTACATCCTGTGTTTCTAATAGTGGTTCACTGCAAATTTCGCATCTAGCTTCGAGCACAGGCTCACTTACTGGAAGACTCGCAATATCCTCACAACTTCTTCTTACTGGCATATTTACCAAATAATTAAAAATTGGTTTTTTTTTTTTTTTTTTTTTTTTTTTTAAATAAACAAAATGTATATAGATGACTAAAAAAAATCTATGTTGTTTCTCCTAACGATATTTAAGGGATAAGAAAGGTGAAGGAAAAATAATGCTGTTTTGGGCTATTGTAGATTTTAAGAAAATATAATTATTTTTCAATAGAATAACTGCAAAAAGAGAAACATGTTCCTTTCCCAAGAATTCACCAGCACAAGTTAAGTCAATGAACTTTTCCAAGCGGACTGTGAATTGGTCACTCGCCAAAACGCAATTTTCCATTCTTATCAAAGAACCTACTCAACAAAACTTATGAACCTTACGGAACGAAAGCATGTAACGACACAGTATAGGACAACAAATATGAGAAAAGAAAGAAAAGAAAAGAAAAAGAAGAGGAAAGAAAAAATAAGATACAAGATTAACCACTGTCCTCAGGTCAGAAATTTGGTCACTGCCAAAAGTTATGATTTCCATAAGGAAGAAAGCTAAATTTAATTTATGACACTTTCGAACACTCTTTATCTATCTTCGGGTCAAAGATTTGGACCTCACCAAAAACTATGATTTCCACAAAGGAGAAAACAATGCCTTTTTTACATGAAAATGACAAATAGAAGCATACCAGCATGAAAACGTAGAAAATGTAGATCGGTCGATATTTTGAACACACGCCAAAAGTCGATTTCCGTATGTCCCATCTTCCTATGCAAACTAGTAGCTAGAGAAGAAAAGATAGTAGAAAATAGGGAAAAGAAGATTCACTTAAGCCTCACGTTCGTCTTAAATCA